ACCCATGGACAGGGCAGAGTGAGTTTTGTTCAAGCCGGGGGGTACCCCCAGCCCATTATTTCATTTATTCCCCCCCAACTCCGCTGCATTTATTTGTGAGGGTTTTTTCCCTCCTGCATAAGAACAAAAGCCTCGGGGTACATCTACTCCATCCATGCCCGGGGGCTGAGCACTACGGGGTAAAGCAAAGCTGGAGGCGGGGGTGAAAGCAGGCCCCCCCCACCTGTAGGATGACCCTTTCCCGAAATATAAGTGTCCTACCTCTTGCAAACAGCTTAATGCCACCGTCGGTGACAACCCAGCGCTGCCGCTCCGTTATCACGGAGGATGCGCGGTCCCCCCCGACGCAAGTGGGCGCGGGGAGGATGAACCTCCCTCTGCCCCTACCCAGCTCCTCCAAGCCCCCCACGAACCAGGCCAGCCTCATCGACTATGTTTTCTCTTTATTGTTCGATATATGTACCACATTATATGTTAAAGATAGATTTTTTTTTTTTCTGATATACATTTTTCATCTTATTTACCACAATGACACCACACGTACATTGGAAACAGCTCCACGGATCTGGTAGATTGCACAGAATGAATTGTGTCGTAGTTTTCTTCCTGTATCCTGAACGACGTCAAATCCAACAATTTTTTTTTTTTTTTTTAACTTTTCATAATTTAGAAATAACGATTGTTAAAACGAAAACAAAACAAAAGTCACCGAGAAGTGGACTCCACGTCTGCTATTTCAACCAGAGGCAAAATATTGTAATCGATGGGAAGCGCCGTTCCTCAGTGTGAATTCGGATGGAAGAATTAAGCAGTCCTGACATCTACGTGACTACGGTGTAAACATTGCAGGTAACTGGCATCGCTGGTCATCAGCCGCTGCTTGGACTTGTTGGGCTGGTCGTACAATCTAGGTCTCATCTACATCCATCTCACACAGTGTAAAACGAAGGCCCCTGCTCCCAGCACCCACGGCTGGTTTGCTTCTGTCTGTGAGCGCAGTAACCCAATCCCATCGGATTGGCACCTGTGTTTCAGCTCCTGAAATACTGAATTGCATATCTGTAAGGAGTATTGAAAACTGCGACTGTTTCCCAACAGGTCGTTCGTGGGGGGCCAAGCTTCAGGCAATGAGTGAGGAGATAGGGGTGGGGCACTGGATAATTTCCTTCAAAAAATTCTAAATAACAAAAAAATATATTTAACTCTTAGCTTATTTAAAAAGACGGCAGGGCGAACACTTTCATTTCTTCTTATTTCCTTTAATTTGCAGATTCTATGACATAGAATTTGTTGGATGCACGTAACGAAAATAATGACTCTTTCCATTAAAGGGATGCAGAATTATTTGGCTATGCGGATGTTCGATACGATTCTCTTGCTGCAACCGACTCTGGCCCCTCCTTAGTCTTCAGCGTTGGTTCTGAAGGCCTCTATGAGGCCTTCTAAAGAGTGGATGAACCCAGAGACGCTGCAGATACCACCTATAACGAAAATGGCGACATCAAAGAAGACATGGTGCCACAAGAGCTTCCTCCACAAGAGTTTGAGGTGGAAAAGACTGGGGAGCAGGAAACAGAGCCCTGCGCCTGTGAGGCTCCCAGTAAGACCCATCAAGAGGGCAAAATGCGGGACATAGATAGCCATGAGCAGGGTGAAAACTACCAGGGCACATCTAAGGGTGAGTCCCCAGGATTTGAGCCGCCCATCACCCCCATAGCAGTTGGGGAAGAATGCCCTGTTTCCATCTTGGAAAAGGGACCGCTCCAGGACTTCCACAGCCGCAAAGAATGGCAAGGGGTACGAGAGCAAGGCTTTGGCCACCAAGAAAATGTTGACTACTGCCCTAATGGTGGATGGCAAGTTGTCTGTAATGACTTCCTTGGTCTCATCAGCCCAGGTCAGATAGGCGACCAAAGCAAAGAGTCCCTTAAGGATGCAAGCTGCTATGTGAGTCCAGTTCATCATGCAATGAAACTCCTTGGGGTTCTGCATGTTCCCCTCCAAGGAAGGCAGAAAGATCTGAGAGGTGTAGCTGAAGACAATGATGCCAATGGAGATGGGAAACTTCTTCACATCAATGTAAAACTTGACTTTGTCCCAGGCCCAGTCACGTGCCCTGGAGAGGCAGTAGGCAATCACCAAGATGTTGATCACAAAGTGGGCTAATGTGCAGAGCAAGCTGAACTTGGAGACTGCCTTGAGGTTCTTCAAGAACGCGCAAGGCAGGAGCACTGCCGTGGCAATGATGGACCACGACTTCTGGGAGACAGGCAGGTTGGGGAAGCTGTTGTACATCAGGTTCCCACTGACCACCACATAGAGGATGCAGGTCATGACCAGTTCAATGATCTGAGCCACGTTCACAATTCTGCCTCCGAGGGTGGGGAAGCGGGGCGCACAGCATGCGTTCGCTATGTCCACGTAGGAGTCTCTCACCCTGACTATCTCCCCATCCTCATTCTCTTCATAAAGACAGGCAATAAGGATTTTCCCAGTATAGCAGCAAACCACTGCAGCGAAAATTATTAAAAAGAGTCCTAGGTATCCGCCATGAAGGATGGCATAGGGCAGGCCCAGAACAAACATCCCCTAGAAAGAGACAAAATGGAAACCGTGTTGCTCGTCTCACGGAGGCGACAAGGCAGGGGCCCGTACCCGGGAACACGCAGTCGCACAGTCGCAGTCACATGCACGCTCGCTGTCTCGCTTGCACACCATCACACCCACACAGTCACGCCACGCAATCACGGCCACACACGATTACACACACCCCCTTTCTCTCTGACGTACCACCCCCCACAATCACACCCGTGCAATCACACCCGCACTCTCACGCACACCCGCATAATCTCACCCTGGAGCACCCAGAACAAGCAAGCACAGTTTTGGTGCCC